GTGTGTGTTTTTATTTTAAGAAGAAATGTGCTGTGTAAGAGCTAGGTAACTATTTATTTCACTGAAATCAGTAACATTTTGAGGAAATCCATCTGTTTTTCTTTCTAGCTGTTTTTTTCTTTGGTAGTATTCTCTTATTTCCAGGAAGCTTTTTTCATTTACCATGAGGGATATATCTGAGCCTAAGTCCTATCTCACTTTTTAATAGTGTATATTCTACTTTATAAACACTAGAATTGGGAGGGGGGGTTACGTACTTGATTTAATTTTGAAGTCTGCATTTTTCAGATAGTACAGTAACATGTTCATGTTAACTAATGATGGCAGCAGAGACTGGAAATCCAGGCTCTTGGTTTCTATTGCCTGCTTTTCCAATGATTTACTGCATGACCTTGGGCAAGTCACTTAACATCTCTCTGCTCAGTTTGCTCCTAATAGAAGGATAATACTTGAAGTGCCTTCCTCAGTGGAGCATGATGAGATTTAACTGTTTACAAAGCATTTACACTTGGAGGGCACTATTTTAAAAAATAAAGATCCTCTACAAATGAAAAACATACTGTGAGAATAATATGTAAGTCACAGCGGGACAGCAGTGCACTTCATATTATATTTTGTTGCTAGTCTAACCTAGTTGGCTTATCCCTGTGGTATTTTAAAGTACATAATTCACTTGAAGCTTTTTTTTCCAGGCACTAAATATATTATTTGAGTTGCTAATAATACTACATATATAGCCTTAAGCTATAATTACAAGTATCTAAAGAAATAAACGATACCACTGCATTTTATTATAGCCAACTCTGTGTTTTCTTTATCTCATTGTTGATAATAGTATCTCGCATGTATTGAAAGTTTGGTTTGTTCTTTTATGGGTCATTTATAAGTAGCATGTAGATTTTTTTTGTTTTTTTTCCTGCATGACCTAACTTACAATGGGAGATAAGGTCCTGGAGCTTAGTTCTGCAGGTATTTAGGGTGATATTGGATGGCAAATTGGACATGCGTTTTCATCCAGTGTGGCAGGAAAGAGCCAAAATAATTTGGGGCTACATGCTCAGAGATGTTGCATTATATCACTGTCTCAAAAGGAAACATAGCCCATTTTGGAAGCCATTGGAATAAGACATGAGATAAGACAAAGTGTCTACTGAAAGCTCTTCCATTCACCTGTTACTGTGACAGTGAGAAAGTCACTTCAGTTCTGTGCCTCTGTTTCTCTTCCAACCTTTTGTCTGTCTTGTCTCTTTAGATTGAAAGCTATTCCATTAGGGACTGGTTTCAGAGTAGCAGCCGTGTTAGTCTGTATCTGCAAAAAGAAAAGGAGGACTTGTGGCACCTTAGAGACTAACAAATCCGATGAAGTGAGCTGTAGCTCACAAAAGCTTATGCTCAAATAAATTTGTTAGTCTCTAAGGTGCCACAAGTCCTCCTTTTCCATTAGGGGCTGTTTCTTACTGTGTGTTTATTGCCCATCACAATGGAGCCCCAGCCTCAATTGGGGTGTTCTTGTAATACAAATAATAGAATACAGCTGTGGCATAATTGCTCCTAGCATGTCATGTTTAGTACTGGGCACCTCCTTACCAGAAATGTATTGAAAAATTAAAGTTCAGAAAAGAACAACAAATAGATTCACCAGTGGGGAAAATGTAAGTCATTAAAATATATACTGCTTAATTCAAAGATAGCTAAAGAGGGACATACATTTACAATTATTTGAAGGGTGTGAACACCAATGAGAGGAATTATTTAGGACAGAACAGAGGATGGGAAAGGGCAGTTTGTAGGCATAATTTCAGGACAGCTGAGCATTGGGTTTGGGAATTGGGGCGGCACTGAGTGTGCTAATCCTGACTTGGCCACTGATTTCCTGTGTGGGCTCGGTTAAGTCGCTTTGCCTCCATTTCCTCAATTTCCACATCTGTGAAAGGCCAGGAGTGTTGAAGTCTGTACAGCGTTTCATAATGGTCTTCCAGGAAGTTGTGAAAGCCTAATAGCTTGAGACAAAATGCTAGTAAATATACAACCAAGAACCAGGGATGGGAATGAACTAATAGTGTAGGTCCCTTCCACCTCTAATTTCTGGGATCTTCTGAATTTCATGACTGTATTTGCAATGGGCTGATGCATTAATCCACACCAGCTGATGAGCACTTGAATCGTGGCCAAGGCCTTGAGTAGGGGAAGGTGCCCTTTTTGAAGTTAGACAAGACAGTGACCCTGCATTGTTTTGGTTTGAACCTGGGTACCCATTAAAGATTTCAGACTGCACAGCAAGGCTGAATCAATAAAAGGGAGGAGGCGCCTCAGAAAAAAGCCTTTGACAATAGGTGTGGAGACAGAACACCCTTTTAGCCCTGGAAGAGCCCCTTCCTGGTCACAGCTGAAGTGGTGTGAATCAGACACCTTTAACAGTCAATGGAAAAAATAATAATTTTTAAGAAGTCCCAAAACACATTCAGTTAATACCAAATTGTGACCCTGTGGATAGAGTACTAGCCTGGGACTCAGAAGACCTGAATTCTATTCCCAGCTCTCCTACAAGTTTGCTGCATGACCTTGGGCAAGTCATTTCACCACTCTGTGCCTCATTTTCCGCATCTGTAAAATGGGGCTAGAGATACTGACCTCCCTTGTGAAATGCTTTGAGATCTAATAATGAAAAACACTATGTGAGAGCTAAGCATTATTATTTGTTTACTATTATTAGTCTTGAAAATTGACTTTTCAGAACTCTGTTTATACATGACTTTGTATGAGTTTTCTCAGCCAATATTAAGAATATAAATTCTGTTTTGCTATTTCATTTACTGTAATATGCTGTGTGAAACCTTTCTCTCAAGTGAGTTTATTCATTATACTGTCTGCCTTTCCCTGTCCCTAATCCTAATGAAATATATTTGAGTTGTTAGGGTTGTGGGAAGTAATACTTAACTGTACTTAATTATTATTATTGTCTAGATAGCCTTTGAATTAACTACCTTATGGCTTATACAGTATTTTCTGTGGCTTTAAGGTTTTGTAGAGACTAAGCAGCAGCTGACAGAGTTGGATAGCTGCTTTATCCCTGACTTTTTCCAACATCCAGACTACGAAAGCCTTTTTCATAAGTTGATTTGTACAAGGACAATCTGGATCTTGGATTTAGTTATCAGACAAGAAAGTTTAGTTCTCTCAATATTTTTGTTGACATATATAATAATTAGCCAGTGCATTCTTCCTAAAACATAGTATGGGGCACAACCGGCTGAGAGAGATTTAGCAATGGGGCAGGCTGTGAAAGAGCAAGTTGTCCACTTCCCTGCAAGTGTTACCAAACCACAGAGGAAGCTAAAGCTAGAAACCGTCTTTTATTTTCAATCCTCATGTAGGATACACTGAATACTTAATGCACGTCCATTTTTGTGTAAGCAGTAAATAATAAAATTTCACTTGTCTAGGCTTCGTGTCTTATTGTCCCAGGCGTCCAAGTAATAGGATTTTCCTAGTCTACTTCCCCTTTGAGGGAACTTCAGTATCACCGTTGGCCAACTTTCTCATACATAGCTGTCAAATAGTGGTGTGTAGGGGTTGCATATGACAAATCAAGTAGGGTAAAAAATACAAGCCTAGAAATTGTCCTGCCACCCAAGAGTCGAGACATTTGTTGCTTGGTGTTAGGATTACACTGTGTGGATGCTTATGTCCAAATCTTGAGAGAAAGAAGGGGCATGCATTGGGGCGGGGTGGAGAACGAGAAAGGCACACCCCACCCTCCCCCTGTAATCATCAGGGGCACAGAACTTCTCCGATCCTGGGCCCACGGAGACAGGGAAGAGCAAGATCCTCCCAGGGCCAGGGCTGTGGGGGAGGAGAGAGTGAATTCCTGCTGGGGCAGGGAGGTGGAGGGGGAGGGAAGAGCGAGCTGGGGCTGGGGAGATGGGGGGCAGGAAGCTCCTTCTGGGGCCAGATGGGGAGAGAGTGAGCTCCTGGTGGAAGGGGTAGGGCAGAATGTGCCCCCCCAAAGGGGTCAAATTTAAGTTCTTGAATATGTCTCTCAGAGAGCGTCTCTATGGCCCTTGCTCACAAACGTACTACTGACTGTGAAGACAGTCTTCAGTCAATGAAGTTTAGATTTTTTTAATGGGAATGTTTGCAGTCTGCATCTCTTTAAAACTCAGGAAACATTATTAACATATGATATTGAAAATTAAAATAGTTCTTGTCCGCAAACTAGGACAGTACACTGTTCTGTTACTTGATTTAAAAATAGTCCTAGAAATACATTACTCTTCTAATGCCTTTTCAAAGCTCCTTTAAACTTCAGCCAGTTAGTGTAAATATTGGTAGAGGTCTCATGGGACCATTTATGTGCTTAAAGTTAAGCAAGCATTTGTATAAGTGTTGGCAAGAATTGCACTAGTGAGATAAGATTAACTCCTTCCTTCCTCACAGTGAGGATGTGCCAAGGCCAATTATATTGAGTTCCTAACAGAAATACCTCAACAACTCTTCTAACCAGTTTGCAGGAAGCTATTATTTTTAGGCCGAACTGTGCAACTGTTGTTTGCACGACTTTGCATAAGTAATCCAATGAAAGTGGAGTAAGTGTGCATCACCACTAGTGTGGGTTACAAAATTGAGTTTATTATGTGTAGAAATGTTTTCAATTCAACTTCTGTCTTGAAAACATGTATTGTCTTAGTTACTACAGTTTGGGGGCCTGATTGTGCCCCATTGAAATTAACAGGACATTTTCCCATTGATTTCTGTGGAACAGGAGCAGGCTGTCTGTATTGCAAACTAGCACAAAACTTTTAGAAATTAAGACTTTAAAATGCTAATCACATAATACGCTATCAAGTCTTGTGTCAAAGATGTGGTTATGAAAGATGAGAACCACCGACCTTTCATTTAGGGCTTTGGGACATTGTTTAGGTAGATAACCAGTTCTGATTGGGACAGCATCACTTCTTAAAGTTTGTAAAGACTAAAACAAATTTTGTTTCATTTTATAGGATAAGAAGGCTTATTTGGACATCATTCATACCTACATGGAAGTCCATGGAACCGTCCACGGGACAAGTACTGTCCATATGCCCAGCTACGTGAAAAACCATGGCATACTTAGTGGGCGGGATTTGCAGTTTCTGCTGAGAGAAACAAAAGTAAGCTTATTGCCAAGAGGAAAAAACGCTAAAACCACTAAAGAATTACTGTACTTGAACTCAAATGCCATCTTGCCATTAATTGACACCTGCATTAAGGGGCTTTAGAAACACAAGGCCAAATAAAAAGGAATTTAACCTGGCCTTTGGGTATGTACAAGCACCTAAGAATGCCCTAACAACTGTGCATGTGCTTGACAAACTAGCAGCCACTTATAGAAAACTTGGCTCATGCCATCCAGCCTAGGAGAGACATCTTAAAACCAGTTTCAAAACATCATTAAACTCATTTTTCCTTTTTTGTAACTGAAAAGCAAAGCAAAGAGATTATCATCTGTGAGAATGTAGTTCATTTTTAAATCCACAATTTAAAAGCTAGGTGCTATCTGACAACTGCACTGCAGGCTCTCATACACTGCCCTAGCAATTACTTTAACCTGGAGTCACATCCCTCTATCGTGATAAAAAGCATTTAATTCCAGATTCAGTTACTTCCTCAGCTCCACATGAGCAGAGAGAGAGAGACTTTTAGAGTGTTCTTTTTGCCTATGGTCCCATAGTCTGCATTTGAACTAAAGTTAAGATAAGAGCAGTGTACACATTTAAATAAACTTTTTTCTCCAGAGGTTAGAACACTTTTTTTTTTTCAATTTGCCATCCAATTCCCTTACCCTTGGACAGTTTTATGCAGGATATAATAAACACATTTTTAGGAGGATAATTTGAAGCATAGAAACTTGTTAGTGGATCAGGTTCAAATAAAATGTGTAATTTTCAGTTAGTGGGTTTGTGAAGGAAACGTTTCGTGATTTTAAATTTGCAAAATGGAATCTATGGAGCCTTTCCACTTTTTTCCCCACTGTTGATGATTTGTTGCTGTGCACTGTTACAACAGAAGCCATTAAAAAGTAAACTCCTTTCAGTCATGCTATGCAGTCTACCACAGAGATCTCTTATTCAAAGTATAGGGGAAAACAGTGGTAGCCTTGCATTTCTGTGCAGCGGCTTTGGGAAAATTATGACTCTTTTAAAAGACAACCACTCTGTATGTGTACTTTGTGCCTACACACACAATGTTACTATTTAAAAAGTCAGCATGTACTTATATGTGCCACACCAATGTACCTGAGATCACCACAGCTTTCCCCTGTATTTAGAACATGAAATTACTGTGTGGATTCCACTGTGGGTAAATATTGACATTTTAATAATAACCTGAGCATAAATCTCTCCAGTTAAATTTGTTCTCTTCGCTGGTTAAAACAGAAATCATGTTCAACGGCTTATTTAACTTCCAGGATGCTTATCACAACTTGCAGAGCACATGATATTGTTTATAACTTCTTATAACTAAATAACAGTTTTTACCTCTAATCTTTCTTCAGTAACATGAGTCTTCCTAGGGCTCTTTTTACTTGTATTACACTAAAAATCCTAGTTTTCATTAAGCAGTTTTACATAGCTATTATTGAATCATCTAATAACAATAGCCTAGTAACTGTCAAAATAAAAGGTGGGAGTTGGGTTTTGTTTTTATGTGATTTGGCTTCTGATATTTTGATCCAAATTACATTGATCAGATTGATTAGTGACTGAATTAAATGGAAGGCACTGTAGTTGTAAAGTGCTCATGAGATCTGTCTGGATGAAAGAAGTAATATAAAATGTCACTATCATTGTGCCAAAGTACTGAAGTCTTTAAAAATGTTGGATCCCTGCAATGCACCTTGCAAAAATCTACAATTCGTGAGAGTTTGAAAGCGTTTCCACGTTATTGCTATGCTTTGATTCTTCCCTGACACTGTAGTTTTGAGAGTTCGCTATATTTCTCAAATGATGGTGTTTAACAGCTGTAGGTTCTTGAGAGACCGGTATTGAAACGCTAGCCTATTACATCTGCTTTTAAATAATCTCTTCAAATATAATCTTTGCTTCTTTAAATTGGATCTTTACATTTATATTGGTGACATTTTTCAAATATATTACTCTTTCTATTTTTCAAATATTTTCCATGTTTCTTATTTAATAAATTGATATTTCATAATTATCAAAGCTCTCTTAAACAAAGGATTTGCTTGCTTGTACGTAGCCAGGCTAACATTTAAAAAACTGATAACAGGTAGCGAAGATATCAGATCTTGTTGTCCCGATTTTTAGGGTCTAGTCTTATTCTCAAATAAGTCAATTAAAATCAAATGTCTTGCTAAGTCATAACCAAATGAGATTGCTTGTTGATAATATGGGTCGTTATGATGTGGGTTGTCATTTCTCTTATTTTTAGTATATCTGACATTTAGTCACTCTGATATATTTAGCTTTACACTTGCTTTAATAAAAAATAAATAACAGCAGCCTGAGATTGAGAGTGTTAACTGAGATTTATAAAGTAGTCGGATTTGAATTAAAAAAATCTAATATCTAGGATTAGTATCTCATCAATAATATAGTGACTGGTCACCTGACTTGACATCTGTATGTGATCTGATCACAATACTAAATTAGTCCTCCGCTAGTGTTTGCTGTTAGTGTTCACTGTGACTGTGCATTTGAATATTTTGTTCCTGGCTTTCCTGCAGGGCAGGAGAGAATAGCTTGACATGATTATAAAACACCTTCACTTTGACTATTCACTTGTATCTGCATCAGCTGGTTTGTTGCATCTTGGTGGGCTGGCTTGTTTGTATCAAGTTAATCATGGAAACCCTACATTCTAATATTGCATTGCTAAAGGACAGTGAGAACAGTATTTTTCCCAAAAGCAATATATCCTGAAAGACATGATCTGGTAGTTTAACAAATCTCCTAACATGCATGTGCACATTCCCTGGTTGTGGCTCTAATCCTATTCAATTGTAGGCACTAGAAGAAGCCACTCTCCTCCTCCCTTCTTATGCAATACCTGTATAAAGTGGTCTAGCAAATTGTTAATGGTTCAGTTATGTTTCTCCGCTCATTAGATCATAGTGTATAGTCAGGACATCAAAAGCACTAAAATGATGACTGCTATAGCCAACAGTGAACCTGGTATCTATATGTTCAATTGCAGCTTCAAGTATAAACCTGCTATTTTTTTCAGCTTTGCCTCTAAAATAATAATAATAAACCTTCAGAGACACTTTTACCTTCAAAAGTTCCATTTCTAAGCATAAGTTTTCAGACATAAAGGGCCAACCACATTCTTTCATACCTGTGAACTCCAGTATTGTACTTTCCAGTTCGTGCAACGTCTCAAACAAGGATTCTGTCCTTGAAAAAAGAAAAGGAGTACTTGTGGCACCTTAGAGACTAACCAATTTATTTGAGCATGAGCTTTCATGAGCTAAGTGAGCTGTAGCTCACGAAAGCTCATGCTCAAATAAATTGGTTAGTCTCTAAGGTGCCACAAGTACTCCTTTTCTTTTTGCGAATACAGACTAACACGGCTGTTACTCTGAAACCTGTCCTTGAAAAGTCAGAGATCACTACAAATTATAATTAAGTCCATCATGAAATACAGATGCCCACAAATATGTCAGTATGGAGCACCCTCAAATTTTTTCCATCTCAAACTAGATCCAATTTCTGCAACACATTCCAAGAACCAGTAGATGACCACTAAAGTGTGATTTTTGATCACTGCTTTGCAAGCCCCAAATATATGGTTGAAACGTCTGAAATAGTTTAGTTGCTCATAATCATCATCAAGAGCTTGAAGCTGCCACTATATTGTGCGGCTTATAGACCAGAATTTGAAAATGGCTTTCAAAAGAGGCATTTTTTAAATAGGGAGAACTTATAAAATGGCTAGCTTAAGTATGTGGTTGATGTAGTGCATAACAACAACTAGACCTCAGATTTTCTGACTGAACAGTTTCCCTTTGGAAAATGCTGATTGGACGGAATTGAAATGTTCCACTGGGAACATGGGGATTCTCTCGAAGCTTTCCTGCCTAACCCAGGCTCCTAGACTCCCTGGGCTGCCAGGAAGGCAGTTGGGGAGCTCAGATTGGAAGTTTTTTACAAAATTCAATTTTTGTTCATCCAAAACAGAATTCTCTGAAAATGTCCATCATGCATCTTTCATGTCCACTCCACCCCCAATGTGGAAAATATCATGACCCCCAACTTTCCATTCTGTTTCTGAACAAACTTTTTTTTAGAAATGAGAAATTCTCTGCAGAATAGAACTTCCAGTTTCCATACAGCTGTAATAACATAAGGAGTGTCTTATTAACATTTGGCTGCAGAGTGTAACAATCTCTAAAACAGAAATCATGTTCAGCTATTGTGCAGACTGTGTTAAGCAAGCAGACTTAGTAACTTTCTCATGCTGCAGTTTACACAGCAGTATAGTTAAAAGAAGCTTATTGGGAGCACAGTGCTATATTTTCTGCTTCCATGAATTTCACAGTGGAGGGAATCCATTCTAAAGGTTTCAGAGGAACAGCCGTGTTAGTCTGTATTCGCAAAAAGAAAAGGAGTACTTGTGGCACCTTAGAGACTAACCAATTTATTTGAGCATGAGCTTTCGTGAGCTACAGCTCACTTCATCAGATGTTTACCGTGGAAACTGCAGCAGACTTTATATACACACAGAAATCATGAAACAATACCTCCTCCCACCCCACTGTCCTGCTGGTAATAGCTTATCTAAAGTACCCGCATGGCCCCACAGTATGCCAACATTTTTATGGCTGATTTAGAACAACGCTTCCTCAGCTCTCGTCCCCTAAAGCCCCTACTCTACTTGCGCTATATTGATGACATCTTCATCATCTGGACCCATGGAAAAGAAGCCCTTGAGGAATTCCACCATGATTTCAACAATTTCCATCCCACCACCAACCTCAGCCTGGTCCAGTCCACACAAGAGATCCACTTCCTGGACACTACAGTGCTAATAAACAATGGCCACATAAACACCACCCTATACCGGAAACCTACTGACCGCTATTCCTACCTGCATGCCTCCAGCTTTCACCCTGACCACACCACACGATCCATCGTCTACAGCCAAGCTC